TTGATCAAGACAAATGGCTAACCCAAGTGAGCATAAGGCTTGAGTCTTAAAGAGGGTTCTCTTAAGGACTCAATGAATCATTCCATGAGTTTGACTGAGTTTGGAAAAGCCTTAGTTAAAAGGTTTGAAAGGGGTAGTAGTGTATGGGAGATTTGGTCAAGCTTGGTTGGCTTGGTCAACCAAGTTGACCTAGGCTAAAGGGTTAGTTCCATTGAGTAAAATTTGATCTTATGAACTCAATGGAAGTGGTCTCAAGATAAGAAGAGCTCATTTAGTTTGAAATGACCATTTGAATCCTTAAGGGACCTTTTTGGTCAACCCTATTGACTTGGTCACCCATGTCAAACCAAAACTTGAGCATGGGTCCAATGGATCTCAAATTATATTTGGGATTCATTGAATGAGATTTCAAAGATTTAAGAGGTTGAACCATGTTGAGTTTTTGCCAAAAGTCCAAAAATTCCCTCAAAAGGCATTTTGGTCATTTTGACCTCTAGTCAACTCTAGATCAAACTAGATCCAAAAAATATAATTTTTTGGTCACATACCTTAACAAAGGTTATGGGTATGGTTAAAGGCCTTGGGATAGGTCCCAAGGTTAAAATTAACAAGTAGATATGTCTAGTGGCATAAGCCCTAAATATTTAAAAGTTTTGTAGCCTTTGTAAATAGATTTAGTTTAAGGGGTTAAAGATCTTAGAATAAGCTCAAATTTGAAGGGTTGTCTCTAGAGACATGTTTGATCAATATGCATATGACAGATCATGAATCAAATATCATTTGATCGTGTTTCCAGGTGATAGAAAATTCACCCATAATAGGCTTTAGGACTTAGGCTTTTGGCCTTGGATTTGGACATAGGAATTTTGATTTTGATATAGATTTTGGTCTTGGTTGGCTGAGTTTGAGTTGTTGATACCAATCACAATCAAATGGATGATTATATTAGTCTGAGTGTGATTGATGTTTGATTGAAGGTTGACTTAGGATATGGAATTGAGGATTGAGCAGGGATTTGGATGAGGATTTGATCAGGAATCTGGGCTTGAATTTGGATGAGACCTATATGACTGACATGGAAAACTATCATCCCTTATATCACCAAAGGGAGATTTGGATTGGTCCTCATGACCTCATACAAAAAGGAGGTCAACAAGCACTGATCGCCACCATCGAACCTTTGTTGCTAGTCCGTCATCGTAGGACTATTGTCACTCGACCATAGTTGCCGGACCATCGCCATCTTCTGAACACCAACATGATTGCCAATATTAGAATGCAACTACTTGCTCCATTGTCTGACTGTCCCCACTCAAGCACTGTCGTAGGCCAATCGACACCCAACCAAAGTTATCGAACCACTGCCATTGTCAAACAATCAACATTGGACTACTACTACTCAACTACCATTATCAGACCACTATTACTCAACCGTCGTTATTGAGTCGCCGTCGACCATCCACCATTAGATTGTTACCATTTGAATGCTTCCACCCAATCACTATTATTAGATCATCTCCTCTTGACCAACATTGTCGGAGCACTATCACTCAACCTTGATCGTCTAAATGCCTTTCATGCTATAAAGGCTTGTGGCATTTTCAACATACTCCCATAATCTTGTTGCTTTCAAATTAGGGGATCAACCACCTTTCATAACCAATGCTCATATAGTGAAATCATTTCAACTGGTCTAGTCTTAGTTGTTGTTTTTTTTTTGTTATTTTCCACGTAAAAAATTTAGGATCGCTCTACTCTTTTCATGTATTTATTTGTATGTTGGATATTCATATATAGTTAGAAATTTGGACACATAACTCCATCATTATAAATTTTCTAGTTCATAATAATAATAATAATAATAATTGTTATTATGAAATATATTGTCAAAGCCCACGTTGAATTGGGATTCAATTTCAAACTATTGATACTAAATTCTGATATTTTTATCAACTAAGGGCCAATTTGTAGGAGCTCTTTTATTATTATTATTTTTAATTATAATAATATCATTAGATATTAATTTTTTGCTATTTTTCATAAATTTATGTGATAAGAAGCATTAATTTTTACCTCTATTAGATTGTGATAACTATAAAAAAATATTATTCAAATTTTTCAAAAGAAAAAATTTATGATACCTCACACGTCATCGAAAATTGTTTTGATCGAGCATGAATCTCGAGGCATATTCAAGTCGTAAACTTTCAAAATTAAATTTGGGATTATATGAATTCCAATTTCAGCAAACTTATAGTCAAACTGAACATCTCAAAGAGACGAACCTAACGATACCAAAATCGATTAAACCCAAGCCCAAATGGGTCTGAATCGGGGGCCCAAACCGCATTCTTTGGATGACAAAATGACATCCAAATATGGCATTCTTATATTCAAATCGAGTGGATCGACGAGATGAATCCAACTAGCATAAGATAGCTAAATTCTGACATTGTTAAGGCAATTGAATAGCTGAAAAACTCTATATGATCGGGGGAATCAATACGAGCCATTCAGTGGATCTTCTCTATATTTATGGGGTGTGCCACTCATGAAAATCTATAAACAGACCCCCACCCTCTATATGAGGATGGGGAGGGGGCTAGAGATTGGAGAGAGAGAGATTGGAAAGAGCTCTGAAGCCTCAAGAGTTCCAATACCACCGCCCGGCCGTCGACCGCCATAGGACTTCAACTAGGTTGCTGACCGCCGCAAAAACTTTAGCCCGACCATCGATAGACTTCCACATGGCCGCAGACTGTTGCCGGACTTCAACCCGATAGTTGTCGGACCACCGCCCAGTCGCCAACTGCCGCCAGACTTCAGTTTGATTGCTGTCAGAACACTACCTGGATGCCGATCGCCGCCGGACTTCCACCCGACCGCCTACCCACTACAGGAAAAATGCCCAATACCGGCGGTTCTAACCGGATTTTGGCGTTTTTCCTGTAGGTGTAGGTACTGCCACCGGACTTCAGCCCGACCATCGTCAGACTACCGTCATGCCGCCGACTGCCGCCAGACTTCAACCCAATAGTTGTTAAACCATCGCCCGGCCACCGACAACCACCATACTTCCACCCAGTCGCTGACTGCTATTAGACTTCGGTCCGATCATCGTCAGACCACTGCCTGGACGCCGACACCGCCAGACTTCCACCCGGCAGCTGATCGTTATCGAACTTCGGTCCGACCACCGAAATCCATCGGACTCCAGCTCTGTTGTCATGGGACCACCACCCATACACCGACCGCCCCAGATTTCCACCCGGCCGCCTACCACTGTCGGACTTCTGACCGATCATCGTCAGACTACCGCCTGGTCACTGACCCCTGCTGGACTTCAACCCTACTTTTGTCAGACCACCGCTCAGTCGCTGACTGTCGCCAGACTTTAACACCAAAGTTCCACCAGACCACCACCCAATGCTTGAGTTCCGCCGGACCACCCCCTGATGCTAGAGTTCCGCCAGACCACCGAATAATGCCTGAACTTCCCCCAGACCATCGCCTTAAGACAACGATCTTTCTGATCCATGTGTCCTGCCTACTATGGTCCTTCCGACCTCCATCGCCTGTAATGATCCTTCCGACCTTCATCACTGACTATGGTCCTTTTGACCTCGCTCGCCAGACAATGATCATTCTGACATCCATCATTAGACAACGGTCTTTCTGACCCCTATCTCCTACCGACTACGACCCTTCTAACCTTCGTCGCCTACTAAAGTCTTTTTGACCTCCATAACAAGACAACAGTCTTCTGACTCCTATCTCCCGCCGACTATAGTCCTTGTGACCTTCATCGCCTACCACTGTCCTTCCGACCTCCATTTATAGAGAACAGTCTTTTCTGACCCATGTAACCTGCCGACAACGGTCCTTCCGACCTTCGTCGCCTATAACGGTCCTTCGATCCTCCTTCACCAAACAACTATCTTTCTGACCCATGTTTCCTACCGACTACAATCCTTCCGACCCTTGTCGCCTACTACGGTCCTTCCGACCTCCATTGGTAGTCAATGGTCTCCTACCTCTTATCGACTACAGTCCTTCCGACCTCTATCGCCCACTACGGTGCTTCTGACCTCCATCGCCAGACAACGATATTTCTTGCCGCTGTCTCCTGTTGACTACAGTCCTTCTGACCTCCATCGCTAAACAACGGTCTCTCTGACTTCTGCCGACTATGGTCCTTCTGACCCCCGTCGCTTACTACGATCCTTCTGATCTACATCGCTAGATAATGGTCTTTTTGGCCTCTGTCTCATGCCGACAACTGTCCTTCCGACCACTGTCAACATACTATGATCTTTTCGACCTCTGTCGCCCACAGAGTATGATTTTGCCAACTAAACAGACATTTCAAGATATTCGTACAAAGTTAAGACATTAAATTTTATATTTCTCTACTGCTGCAAATATTCTAGGATGCAATAATACCTTCATCAATTGCAAGAAAATATAGTTTTACGATAATAATTCTATATCTATTTATGCAAATAGATGTAGTCGACTCAAATGGTCTCCAAGAGTCCCTTTGGGTGGCTTTTTTAATGCTCATTTTATTTATGAAATAAAATGCTCAAAGTCTCAAAGATACTCAAGTAAACAGTAAGCAACATTTATGTATAAAATTTTGGTCAACGTTTGACATGATATCAATTGAAAGGTTTCTAAAAAATAAAATAATATTTCACTATGATTAAAAAAAAGTATTTTTCAATTTGGGGTGGCTAGAGCTGCTACAACTGAAGCCTAAATCTTTTTAAGCTGTTATTATCAATTTAATTTCTAATGTCGGGCAACACTATTATTGCAATTGCAATTTCATTTTCAATTTCAATTTCAATTTCATTTCAAATGGCTACTCTATTATTGCAGATTAGTTATAAAAAAAATAAAATAAATCGTTCACGAAATGGCATTGATTTTAGGCGGCACCTACAGTGTATTGATTGTTAAAACTATTTACTGTAATTTGTATCGTAAGACAGTACCTTTTGTTGTCCCACCAAAAATACGTTCCTGAACCGCCTAAATGGATCATCGTGGGCTGTGGCCATGGGAAGTCGAAGAGCATCGCCGACGAGCTCTGTTATCTGAAAGATAAAAGTGAGAGAATGTTTCAAGGTACTATTTAATGGCGCAATGGCCAATGAGCTGCTTTATTCTTTTTTTTTTTTTCTTCTCTTTTCCAATTTCCAACTTTTTTAATGGCGCTAACTTTTTTTTGGGGGGAAAATTAGGGAACAAGACGCTAACTTACCAAGCAATGCAGATGCAGGGGGGCAGCGAATGCCTCTGCAGGCCGCGTCTATTGCTGAGGCATTGGAATTGCTGCTTTCGTCAACAGCATCGGCGAGAGCTCTGATTGGAAGGGGATGGGGCTGGATGAGGTCGTTGTTGGTGGTGCCGGTGGTGAGGGTGGCGGTTCTGCTCTGCCTAGTGATGTCGGTCATGATGCTCGTCGAGAAGCTATCAATGGGCGTCATCAGCCTCTTTGTCAAACTAGCCCGCCGCAGCCCCGATCGCGTCCACCGATGGCAACCCCTCACCCTCGTCTCAGCCACCGATGAAGAAATGGGAATGGAAAACGGGAACCATCAGCAGCAGTCCTCTTTTTTCCCGATGGTGCTTGTTCAGATCCCCATGTACAACGAAAAAGAGGTTCCCCATTCTAAGTCCTTCCACTCATTTCCATTCCCAGCCCACTTCCAGGATTCGTTGGATTCTTCAGGCTTTAGACCATCTGAACTAGTGACTTTACTCCCTTGAATGGAATTCCGTTGAATCCGTTTCTTCTGATCTGAAATTGCCGAATGTCAGGTGTACCAGAAATCAATCGGAGCCGCGTGTGATCTCGAATGGCCCTCCGATCGAATTATCATTCAAATTCTCGATGATTCCACGGATCCTTTCATTAAGGTCCAACTTCTCCTTTTATTCGCTATCAATTTGCTTTCGTATTTTCGTTTTTTTGTGGGAATCTGTTTTGTCATTTTTATTAGTAAATTTTTGTGAAAATAAAATGCCCTTTAGTTAATAACAGGGACGGGGATTCCTATGATTTATGAAACCAACTTTTTATTTAGGAAGTTTTGGCTTTAGCGAAAAATATAATAAACTGCGTCATTCGTTTGTTTTCTTATAAAAATATGTTTGAAAGATCATTTAATACTAAAATACTTTCGTTTTTAACTGCATAGTATTTATTTGAAGTTCCTCTCAAATGTCATAGGTTCTCACAAGATTTAAATAAAGTTTGATCAAGGTTGGAATCATATTTGAGCAAAATTTGAACATTGTATTCTTATTTGAAGATAGGTTCAAACAAGGCCCAAATAGGATTTGAATAAGTCTCTAAAAAGGTTTGAACATTGTTCGAGTAGGTTTATCAAGGATATATACAATATAGTGTATTTTGACAACTTAAATAGAGCAGAATATAAACCTATACAACATAGTGTAATTAAAATATGTATAATACAATATATTATAGATACAACAAAATGTAATCAACCATAGCACGTCACAATAAATAGTGCATAATGCAAGGTTAATACAACATAGTGCAATTAAAATAGATAAAATGTAAGAATCCATGAAACATAATAATGGCGAGCATATTATATCATTGTGCAACCAATTTTTGACATTACTTCTAAGCATTATATTATGTCAAAGCAATTACAATATTCTTACAATAATGAGAAGAGTAAAGTACAGATTGTTATGAAGGCAAGAGTTACTTGACCTAAAAGTAACTCTATTATGACCTATTGCTCCACATCAACCACACCTATGTTGCATCGCATCCTTCTCATCTTTTAAAAGCCTTCTATATTTTTTTATGATCATTCTTAGGCTTCACCAATAGAGTTATTTCATCTGAAATCTCTTATGGATATTTATTTTTGATTGGATATAAATTTTTAGTATATGCAGCTAATGGTGCTTCTTGTGTATAGAAATTTAAACATAAGTTATAAAAACTGACACTCTAGCCCTGAGTTGTAGCCAATAGATGTTCACACATGACCTATAACATCAAACTTTCTTAATGTTCATATCACCTCCTGCAAAGCAATATCATTATCATGGTCATTGTTAAGGACATATTCAAATTGACTAATAAGATAGATTAGCAAACTTTGTGCTTTATATAAGAGCTTCCTCAATGCTGCACGGTTTTTCTTTTTGAAATTATTTTTTTATTCAATGTGATGTTATGTCTATTAAATAGTCATTTTATATTGTCTGCCTAAAAAATTTCAATAATGTAGTCACTTGAGGGCTTTGAGAGAGCTTAATTTTTTGAGTTGTATTTTTATAAGAGAGATAAGATTACAGATAAGACTCTACCCAGATATTTTCGTTTTATGATAATTTTATGATTTAGTTCCAAGTTTTTCATATACGCGAGTCCCTATTGTTAAATACTCATCTCGATGATGAGAGAGAACTTTAGATTAAGGTCTGTCATTAGATAGGGTCTTAATGTATAGTAGTAGCAATTTTAATTTTAATTTGAGGGAAATTTATTGGCGTTAGCTTAAAGTTGATGGTGAAAGGGGGGATGATGACGAAGCATATTAAAATCTCATAATTTTATAGTCTCAAATTATTATGGACCCTAGCCTAATTAATTAGCAGAGGCAGTCTACCCAACCTGATTGAGTGATCCTTGTCAGGAGTCATGAGTTGCATTATCTAATAAGACTTTATAGATATATGGTGGATGTTTATTTAAGAGGATGAATTTAAGTAGACCTTATTTGACAAAAGATTTTTATGCTCTATTAAATGTATTTTATGATTCACTAATCAAGGGTTTTAAGTTATTAGGGAGCTTACGAGCCCTATCCTTGACAATAATTTAATGATGCCATTTTTCTATGAAATCACTCTATTAGAGAGTTACAATTATAAAAATTTACTTGTAGTGGTAAAATCACCAATTAGAGGTCATGTGCCACTTCTACACTAGCAAGAGATCGTTTGAGAGTAAACATAACGATATGTTTAACAAGATATTGACTCTTTATGATGAGAGTTTAGTATTAAATTTATCACCCTCGACAAATGATTGTTGAGGATGGATGATTATTACTTTAAGTTTTTTGGTGATAAATTTTCTCGTGCATTTTAATATTTTATAATTTTTTTTGAGATTTTTATATTTTTGTAGAAATTTAGGCCACACAATAATATTTTGGATGAGATTTGATTTCAAACACGACAATTATTAATATTTTGAATGCTTTCATTTTGCTGCTTAAATCTTGTCCACTCTACTTGCATGCTAGGAAAGGATCAAATTTGTAAATTAGCTTTATGAGTTACTATATAGTCAGGGTGACTTGGGAGTTTGCATTTTAAATTGAGTTTCTTTCATAAGAGGCTTCAAAGGCCTATTATGAACATAAAATAAAATATCTTTATGAATTTTTGCAGAGCCTTTACTTCTTAGTCCATAATAATGTATTGAACCGCAAGTGCAAAGTTTAGATCACTTTTTTTTAAACAAGTTATATCGAGTAAAGTCCCAATGAGGTGGAGGTGTGGGATTTACAACCATATCCTATAGAAAAGGTGGCTTGCTTGAGAGCATCATTCATTTATATTGATAAATTTAATTTTGAAAGAGAGAATTTTATGAAGCCTTAAAATAATTGGCCACTTTTTGGAAACAATTGCATGATTCTTGGAACAAAGTAAATTGGTGTTAAATTATTTTTGGTTCATGCAACATTCTTATATGTAAAGTTCGAGCATTTAGCACATTCTTTGGAGCACGGACAAATGTGTTTATTTTAATAATTTGAAATTCTCTCTTAGATAACATGCATGATTTTTTGTGCGTTGCATAGTGCATTTTCATAACTCATTATATAGTTGCATGTTCTGTTATGCATTCACATAATGTACTTGTGCTTATTTTGATGCATTTGAATAGTACACTTTTGTGATTAATGATACACTGAACTCTTTTTAATATATTTTCTCTATGCAGCTGCACATTCTTTGACAGCTTTGTATGATACATGGCATTCTATTAGAATAATGACATGTTTCCTGAAGTAATTACACATTTCATGATATTTGCATACTTTTTGAGATAATTGCATGCTTATCGAGGCAATTGTATGCTTCTCGAGGCAATTGTTTGCTATTCGAGGTAGTGCACATTTCTCTAGTTGTTGCATATTTTTCAGAGCATTTTTATCTATCGTGAGTCAGCTACACACTTTTGAATTTAAAAGTTATGTTGTAATGTGTGAACTATTTAAAAATATCAAGATTTTGATTATTTTTGCGAACATATGTTATTGAAATACTTGTTATTGAAATTTTGAAGAACATTTTCTATTTTGTTTGTGTGTATTGTTAAGAGTTAGAATGTTATTACATATTTAAAAAATATCATGATTTTTGTCTTTATATGTTTGTATCTTTGTGTGGCGGCACTCTGAAATAAATCTCTTCGCCTATAAATAGAAGGGGTTCATTGTTTATTATCATATTTTATGTTCAATTCGTAAAGTTCTTGAGAGTTTTTATGTTCAGGAGAGTTCTAAAGATAGTGAGAAAGATTTGTTTGGGCCAATAGGTGATCTACTTCAAGTATGTCCCATTTAAGTACTGTTAGGGCTTATTTTATGTTATTTTTTGATATAGCTTATATGATGTTTTAAGGATGTTTGGAATTATTCTTTTTATGCATTTTACTCGCTAATTCAATTGTGTTAGTGTTCAAGTAGGTTTTATCACTTATACACTATAAATTCATTCATAGTTCTTTTTGGCAACCTCGTGTATGGTTTGGGATGTTAGTACTTCCCACTTCGCTTGAAAAAATGTGCATGATCATTGTTGTGATACATTGTTATAAGCAGGTCTTCTAATTCATTGCACTTAAAAAAACGTACATTGGCATTCATCATTTGCATGAAAGAATGTACATAATTTCCCCCACCTCAATGGAAGTGCGTACGAGCCCTTAATTTACAAAATTTTCCATTGCATTAGAATAGTACTAACGTGTATGTAATTTTGAGGTTGCAGGTTGTACCTTGCGCGATGCGAGCAATGACAAGAGGCCATGAGATTGCGGCAAGGTTAGAAAATGAATAAACGTTGAATTCTGCAAGCAAATCCACCACGCAAGCGTTGTTACAGATTTTATTGACTATTCTAAATGATCTGCACTTCTAGCATGTAATTTCCCGGACGAATCCACACCATTACTGAGTGACTAACTTTAATAGATTTAAATTGTCGTTTAGAATCAGCATAAAGTTTATACTTATTATTGCTCTATTCAGTTAGGCGTAGATGTAATGTAAATGTAGATGTAATGTAAATGCGACATGTGCTATGTGAATTCATATGTTTCAAGACTCAACAAGATGAACATGAGGTGGTGCAAGAGACTTGATAGACAAGATGAATGTTATATGGATTCACATGCAAATTTTAAACAAAGAAAACTTCAGAAGACAACAGACTATAAAACATACACAACAACATACTAACTCACACGAACACATAGCTAGAAAAGTGGACAAGTCACAAAAAAAGAGGGGTTTTAAAGTGTTCGGTCTAAGGGAACTGGGGTAGGGGGAGAATGAAAACACTCTTAGCTACCAGGGCACTTCTATAGGTGGTTTCAGTTATGGTCGACAGCAGTCTCCTAGTGGGGGTAGTGTCATCTAATAAATTCATCCAACTAGGATAGAAGTGGTCCTTATCCTGATAGGACGAGGCTATAACGGGCAAAATGTATGAATCAGGAATGACATACTCGGCCAAATATAAATCCAATTGAGCAGCTCTAAAGTTAGACTCTAATGAAACAAGAGGGGGCTCATTGCTCAAATCAGGCTAAAAAACTTTCAGACTCAAAGTACTGTTTTCTGAAAGAG